TTTGTTTACTTCTTTTAGTTTTATCCCGAAACTATTATTATTTGTATTTTTTTTTATCTGAACTATATATCACCATCTATTAAAATATATTTTGAAGTTGAATATTAATGGTTTCCTTTTACTAATTTAACTATCACTATGTACTCAACTAGATGTATGTTATAACATAGATGGTGATGATTCAGGTAGGAAAAGTGAATGTACAAGTGATAGTTAAAACTTAAAACTCACAAAAATGTGATAATTCAAACATATTTTTGATCGTTAACTCTTGACAAAAACATACTTGATATCACCAATTACGTGCGCCTTGACTATTCCACTAGTTAATTATGTGTTTCCTCCCATCAACATATATAGGTACCAATAAACTTAGGTAGATGGGGATTTTTTTTCACACAAACTGACTCAAACATTGCCGATATTTAAAAAAATAATCGAAAGAAGTTGTTGCTTTCATGCTATCTATTTTAGGCTCGTAGAATCAATTGAAAATATTATGTGTTAATTCTACTATAACGATATTGAATATTGATACTTCCATGACATTTATTTGTATTGACTGATAATTTAAGCCATTATTATGCCATTAAGCAAATTAAATGGTTGAACAAACTGGGGTCCTTGAAAGCTCAATTTAGCCAAGAACATTTTGTAAAATGTGATGCACATCTTGAACATCTTGTCATGTTGAAATGATAGACATTAATTGCATATTCATTTTGTTGGAGGGTAGAGATAGCAATGGGTGTGGAGCATATCGACTAATGCAGTGTTGTAGCTAACTCGTTAATTAATTATAAGTATCCTCTGCTGAGGGAGTACACTTGCAAAAATGAAACTCAAAGAAATTGACCTACACATGCGGTAGAGTGTATGATTTAATTTAATTAGATGGAGAGTGAAAAACCTTAATTACATGAAGAATTGGGAAGATGAAAGAACGAAATACGAAAAAGGGATAAGATCCAAGAAAATACATACAACATGAGAGGATAACCTTTAGTAGATTGTTTTTAGGTTGAAATCACAAACAAGGTGGCTTAGAGGGTTAAAATAAATTCGAAATCAAAAGCAGGACAGGACAGGACAAGACAGGACAGGGTGGAGCGAGTTAAATTTTTTGTTGGGTAACATTTCACCCCCTCTATCCCATTTGCCATCCCTACCTATGTTGCATAGACCCTCCAAAAATGCCATTGTAACTTGTATTCGTGTCGAATCCTCAAAAAATGCATAACTTTTGAAGAATATGACATACTTAGAGGTATTTTTGAAGAGTCCGAGCAACATAAATCTCTACGGAAGGAGAGATGAAGGTTAGTGGGGGGGGGGGGAGGTTATGCTATTGATTTCATTACTAAACATGTCAATGGGTAATGTTTATCACAAAAAAATTACTTACTACGAACTATGTAACATCAACAACCAACATAGCATAATAGGTAAAAGGTCAATATCTAGGAATGTTAAGATTTAGAATCAAACAAACCTTCATTTCAGATGGACTATCACAATAAGTCTGTCTAGTCCTATTGAGCAAAAATGCACAATCCAATCTCCACAACATAAATACAGAAAAATACTCTCGATAACAATATCATTTGTTTGAATATTTTTTGAAATTTTGTTACAGAGAACATACGATATATAGCATAACATGAAAAATCGGTTCCACAGAAAACTTAGACGATTATTCTGAAATGTTATTATAGAGAAGTTCAATTATAGTTTATAAAACAAAGTGTTGATCTTATGATCTATATATTGAAGTGTTATGAAGTGTGGATCGTTACCCAAAATAAAATGTGATTCTTCATCATTTGATATAGTCACAAAACATTTATATATTTTGATTGTTACTCAATTTTTATTATATCGTATTATTAAATGAGGAAAAATCACATTTTATTTTGGGTAACTATCAACACATAAAATAATTGGATCCATATTTTGTGGAACAGTATAACTTGTTCCCTAGTTTTAGGATATGCAGTAACATAAAATTAGGACAAAAAATATTTGAAATTTCCAGTTATGCGATTATAAAATTTTAGCTATATGTACTGCCATTTTTTAGACATATTTTTGCTAAATCAATTAAATTTGGTTCAAAATTTACATAACACTTGTATATACACATGTTAATTCCCCTTATAAATTAGATGTACATGATTAATGTACAAACAATTAATTAATTTATACACATTTATCTAATTAAAAACTCTAAATATTTTACTAGGGTGACAATTTCCATTATTATTTGAAAATTAGGTATTAAATAATCCAACTTTAAAAGTACTTAAACCTAGTCAAAACCCTATTAATTAGCACTCGAATTAGTATTCTTTTCAATAATAAAATAAATCACACGAGAAAAAGTCATTTTTTAATACTAAAATTGTTCCTTTAATTACGCTATTATTGTTATGTAAAATCTCACCATAAAAACACTTCATTTCTCACTCTCACTTCTATGCTCACACTGTTTTTTTTTTGTTTCTAAATTTACTTTTATAATCCAATGGAATTTTTTAAGGAATTACTTACTATTTTTTGTACCACCACCCTTCTTTTCGGCGGTGGACTTTGTTATTTTACTTTCCTCTTTGGCTCTGCGGAGCAGAAGGGTAAAATGGCAGTTCAACTTTCTGGTGGTTCTCTACCTAAAGAGAAAGTTCAAGAAGGGTATGATCGATATTCGTCATTTTTCGAGCGTGGCCCTAATGGAAATGAAATGGACTCCTCCGATAAAGTCCCCGCTCTTGTTGACACATTTTATGATCTCGTCACCGATATATATGAGTGGGGTTGGGGCCAGTCTTTCCACTTCTCTCCTCGTATCCCGGGAAAATCCAATCGCGATGCCACGCGTATTCATGAGGAAATGGCGGTTAATCTTTTGAATGTGGAGCCCGGAGCCCGTGTCCTTGATGTTGGTTGTGGGGTTGGTGGCCCAATGCGGGCCATCGCGGCTCACTCAGGTGCTAATGTTGTTGGTATCACTATTAATGAGTACCAAGTGGAACGAGCCCGGGCCCACAACAAGAAGGCGGGGCTTGACTCTATGTGTGAGGTGGTTTGTGGCAATTTCCTAAAAATGCCCTTTGATGACAATAGTTTCGAGGGAGCTTACTCCATCGAAGCTACATGTCATGCACCTAAGCTCGAGGAAGTATACGGAGAAATCTTCAGGGTATTAAAGCCTGGATCATTCTATGTATCCTACGAGTGGGTTACAACTGAATTATACAATTCAGACGATCCTGAACATGTGGAGATAGTTCGAGGGATTGAAAGGGGAGATGCATTGCCCGGGTTGAGAAGCTACAAGGACATTGCTAAAATCGCAACCAAAGTAGGTTTTGAGGTGATTAAAGAGAGTAATTTGGCCAAGCCACCCGCGGAACCATGGTGGACACGGCTCAAAATGGGGAGGATTGCCTACTGGAGGAATCATGTCGTAGTAACAATACTTTCTTGGCTTGGGATCGCCCCTAAGGGCGTCGTCGATGTCCACGGTATGTTGTTAGTGACAGCTGATTATTTGGCTAAAGGAGGTGACACTGGCATTTTCACTCCTATGCATATGATTCTATGTAGGAAGCCTGAATAAGTACATGTACGATTATAGCGATAAATCGCGATGAATGGGTATTAATTAGTTACGAAGATATTATCGATGAATTAGCGATGAAAATCATGCCTAGTCATAGAATTAATCAGTTTAGCACTAGTATCAATTTTTTAATTTTTTTTTTTGTAGTGACATTAATAGTATCTACATATCTACATATGTTTTTTGGCCTTATAATGGATTTTTTTTCGTTCTAACCCATTTATAACAACTTCGTTTGTATTTATATTCTTTTTGACTTTTATAGGGATAGACTTTCATACAATTATAACAACATTTGATAATTAAATCTTGTTTAACAATCATCTATAACAAGATTAATAAAGATAGCTAATATATCATTAATAAACTTTGATCCTTCAAACTTTTGTCCAATGAAATACACATATATGTGCATATTTTTCTAAGGAAATTATTTCCTCTGTATTTCTCTTCTCTGTTTCTTCTTATTTCTTTACTGTTTCACTGCATTTTCGAGTTGTAGCTCTTTCGAGTAACTAAATTAGTGATCGATTGGTTGTTATTATGGTTTTTCTATACATATCTAGACTTATTCGTGTAGACATTCACATGTAGCTCTAAGGAAGACGCGTAGAAACTAGAAAATTATGTAACAAAACATTGTTGAAGTGCATATTATATATGATATTGTTACTCTTCGTTTGCACAAAACAAAAGAAGGTTACATTCCATTGTGCACTCATTGGGGATCAAGAAATTGCGCGTCTCTTTTCTTCAGCTGGTCATGTTTTAACAAAAGTAAAGCTCCAGGCACTAAACATCAACGACATCTCTCTAGCTATTATTGGACATTATGGAATTGCAGTGACAAATCTAGTTCTTGGATGGATCGACTTGGATTTGTATTCAACTCCATCAACTAAGACTCTTGCTTTATACTTACGGATATGTACAAAACCTTCATTCATGGATTGGTAACTTGAGACCTCTTTCGCAACTTTTGGATCAAGCATCATCTATTGCATTGACAACGGGGATCAATATCTTCTCTTAACCTTGTGAGACATCACAGTCCACAACAAACTCGTATTGATTGGGATGAAGAATCAGTCTGGATATGCTCTCCACCAGTGGAAGATCAAGCAATAGCATCCATCTCAGTGATACACCGACCTTTCAGAATTCAAATTCTCAAGCTGTAGCAACTGAACCTCCCGAGACAGCCGCTCCATCAGGTCCAGTTAACATCAACAGGCTTAGTACGGCTGTCACTGCCAGACTCAACCTCGAACTCAACAGTCTCACCTTCACTGAGGCTTCGGGAACACTCAGATCTGATACCAGACTGATGAATAAACAGTTCGTCACTGAACCATTTAACCGTTCCCTTAGCCCTCTGTCCATTCTCCCTCACAATCCCTTTGTCTGTTCCCTTTGGAACTGTCACCGCGACAAGGAAATATGTTGCTGGGATAAGAAAGAAGGACATGAATATTTGTTCACCTTTTGGATCAAGCAGTAACCCTGCACGAGGAGCAACTTCCTCTTCTAGACGTTCCAAAACATAAGCGGTGGACAATGTGACATTTGCATTCGTAAGATTGTAGCTGATGGATGAAAGTGCAGGAGACGAAATTGGTGATGCGTATGTGAACACTGGCTCTATTAGAGAGAATTTCATCTAATCTGTGGTGACATTCATAGAAATCAAAGCATCGATAAAGGAAAGTAATTTGCAAGTGGAAGTGCTCTTTATTTCTCTATTACAAGAGTTGTTAAATAGATAAAAACTACTAATAACAGAACACACACACATCTCCTAATTATTCTGATCTAAACTGACTCCAAAGTTGTTTAGATCAGAATAATTAGGAGACATGTGTGTTCTGTTATTAGTAGTTTTTATCTATTTAACGACTCTTATAATTGAGAAATAAAAAGCATTTCCTCTTACAAATTACTTTCCTATTTGATGCTTTGATTTCTATGAATGTCACCACAGAGAGATGAAATTCTCTCTAATAGAGCCAGTGTTCACATACGCATAACCAATTTCGTCTCCTGCACTTTCATCCATCAGCTACAATCTTATGGATGCAAATGTCACATTTTCCACCGCTTATGTTTTGGAACGTCTAGAAGAGGAAGTTGTTCCTCGTGCGGGGTTACTGCTTGATCCAAAAGGTGAACAAATATTCATGTCCTTCTTTCTCATCTCAGCAACGTATTTCCTTGTCACGGTGACAATTCCAAAGGAAACACACAAAGGGTTTTTAGGCTTTCTGTTTGTGAGGGAACGGTTAAGTGGTTCAGTGACGATCTGTTTGTTCATCAGTCTGGTATCAGATCTGATGGTGAGACTGTTGAGTTCGAGGTTGAGTCAGGAGACCAAAATGGATGCTACTGCTTGATCTTCCACTGGTGGAGATCGAGAATATACGACTGATTCTTCATCAAATCAATTCTTCTAATGAACTCTGGTGGAGAACATATACGACAACAACGGAAATGTATAGTTTAAGTCTTTCACACCAAAGCCGTTCACATTGAGCTTTACTTTAGTTAAAACTTGACCAGCTGAAGAAAAGAGACCCGCAAATCTTTGATCCCCAATGAGCGGACAGTGTTCTAATACAACAAGCTTCAGGTTCGAGCAGTATTGACCCAGAGCCTCAGGAGACTCATTTCCAATGTTTGATCAAGGATCTATTTTTAACGATGTCAGAGGTCAGCTATCGCGGTGAATAGGCCAGGTTAAGTCTTTGATAGTAGACCAAATAGAGTTTAACTTAGAAAATCAGATCGACACTTATTAAAATCTTTTGAATTGTTTAGCTTAATAATTTAATTCTGAATAATCAGCTTTTTGTGTAACAATAACAATTTATTTATCTATTTCACTACCCATTCTTAATATTTCCTATTGTCAAAATATATATTTTAGTTTAGAAGTTCCTTAATACACGATTCCCCGTTTTATGCAGTAGTACCACATTAAAAAAAAAACTACAGCAAACATAAGTTTCAAGAACATATTCATCCATATAATAATATCAACGTGATTTAGATCGCCAAACACTTCTAAAGAGAAATCACGTGTGAGATCATAGCGTACACAAAGTGGCCTAGTTAGTGGTCAATGAAGTGTGCTGAGAACCATGATGTCTCATGTTAGAATCCCAATAGAGCAAAAAATACTCAGTGATTTCTTCTCATTTGTCGTATCCTTGGTTGATAGAGTTACCTAATACATGTTGATGGGAGGTGACATGTATCCCATAGAATTAGTTTATGTGGTCACAAACTGACCTGGACACAACGGTTATCAAAAAAAAAAATGTATGTCAATCTCGGTGAGAAATAATTACAGGTGCTGGACACAACGGTTTTCAAAAAATCAACAATCAATTCATTTATTCAGAAAACTAAACGATGAGGATTCGGAAACAAAGCTAAATAAAACCATATAACAAATTTTGTGTATAGTAGAGGATAATCAGAGTTTGTTAAATATCCGATGGAGGCCAAAAGTGCTTGCTTTTGACAAATTTAAAAGACCAAAACTACTCATGAATGAATCTTAAGTGTGACATCTTGTAAGTTGATAACTAGGAAGAAGCTTAAAAATTGGAAATAGTCATTTTTGGAAGGAATTCAAAAATCTGGAAAATTTGGTTAAGTGTGGAAAAAGTGCGTTTTTGGGCCAAATTTGAGCGGTCATAACTCCTAGCTCAGAATGATTTAGGTGTATTTCTAGTTATGTTTGCGAATCTTGTAGAATGATCTTTCCAACGCCACCGAGTTTGCTCGATTCCGAGTTTGTATGAGTGAGTTATCCCCTTTGGAAGTTGGGCAGTTGGCAGGGAAGTCCGTCCGGAAATTGTAAGGGTATTTTGGTCTTTTCCCAAATCAATTGTTTTGAATATATTAGTGTGTTAGAATGATTTTAGATCAGTTTTTACCATTTTTAAAGAGTGAGAGTGAGGGTTTGAGAGTGAAGAGGAGAAGAAGAGGAGAAAGAGAAGATCAAGCAAGATTTCGTCAAAGATCGTCGTGGATATCGTCGGGGGTGATCCCTACTAGGTATGTGAGTTCATAGTGTTGGGTTGATTCTTTCCCCCACACGCCAAACTCGTTTAATTTCGAGAAAAGATTGATTATGTTTGATGAAGTTGTTGGTTGTAGTTGTTGAAGTTGTTGGTTGTGATTGTTGTTGAAGTTCTTGTTGGTTTGGTACATGTTTCCGGTTGTGTTTTGAGTTAAATCTATGGTATATTGAGGGGTTTTATGACTCTAAGTGTTTGGGGCTGAAACCTTTGGAGTTTAGAAGGTTTAGAGTTGGAAAAACGAGAGGGAAAAGTCAGTTTTTCGGGGAAAAAGGGTGGGGCGTCGCGCCTGCCAGCGCGCCTCAAAAGGGGCTCTGAACTTTCCCTCTTGGGGCGGCGCGCCTAGCAGAGCGCCAGCAGGCCCCTTCTGAAGTTTTAGGGCTGGCGCCCCGCGCCTTTCAGAGCGCCAAGGACGCCAACCTTTCCCATTCATTCCCCACTTTTACGTGCATGCTCCTTGGTAATATACCTATGTTTTATAGTTGTTTCCACCACTCCAAGGTACATCTAAACGTCAAGAACTCATCTATAAATGTGTGTTCATGTACCTTGAATCCATAATTCAATTCAAGGCGAGTTAGTATCAAGTCAAAGTGAAGTTAGAGTCAAGTCAAGCAAAGTTAAGAAACAAGTCCAAGTGAGTCTTTAAAGCTTTTCAAGAGTCTTTATTGAACGTTTTAACTTCGTTGTAAGGCTCAAGTTTCAAGTTAAGTAAAGAGTCTCAAGTTTCAAGTCAAGTAAAGAGTATTGAGTTTTAAGTTAAGTCAAGAGTTCAAAGTTGAGTTCATTTCTCAAAAGCTATTAGGGAACTAAGTATTCCCAAAGAAGTTTCTAAATGTTTTTACATTTTAGTAAGAAAGGAACTATGTTTTCCAAGAGAGCCTTTGGGCTAAGTTTTGAGCAATTATCTCA